GCCATTTCTGACATATTCAGTACCTTCCTGGTTGGTGTTGTGTATTATGGCTCAAGGGTCTGCAGCATCTCCCTGAATCCCTCGTCCTCAAAGATGCTTAAACGTTGGCCATATTTTATTATAATATTTACAATGCATCGATTTAGTGCCTCTTTTCTAGAAGCTGGAAGTGAAAAGGAAAGGTGTTTGATTTAGATTATTATTAGCCTCCATAATAATTAGTGACTGATGACAAAATACTAATCCACCAGTGTCCATTCCTGGTGTATTTTGTTCTTTCATGACGAGCTCTATAATGCCGTAGCATTGATGTGTTTCGAGTTGCATAGGACAACTCTGATGAGCATTGACGCCATTTCAGCTGTGGGTCATAAAAATATTTATAAAAGACTTGGTCCTGTGGAAACGGGAATGGAAAATAAATGACTTTATCAGGTGTTATGAGATCAAAATGATCCACACAGAAGAAAACTTTCTCTTTCTTGGAGGGTCCATAATGACGAACGGCGTCGTAGCAACAAGTGACTCGATCTGTGCCGGACGTCCTGATGTTGAACTGGCGCCTCAATGACACGTGACACGATGTGATACAATACGGCTGCCTTCAGACTGCAGCCTGAAGTGACCCAAATCCGATTTTTTTAGCCCTTATGTTCCTGTATCTGATCTTTTAATGACAGTCGGAACAACACAGATCCGATTTTTTTCAAATGTGACCCAGGACACTTGGATATTTGCTCCTGAAACCGATACATATTTGATCTTTTAACATGTGACTTCAGTCTGAACGGCCAAAGTGCATTCATCCACCTACACGTTATCAACAAGACACAAACGTCACTATTCTGCACTGAAGTAGGAGAAAATTGTTAATGAACTCTGTGTGACTGAAGTGAAGCACATCTCCACTCACCACAAAACACCACGACCAAAAACCCTCGTCCTTCTCCTTCTCAATCTCCTCCTTAAAACAAGTCAAGTTGTTCATGTTGTGGCTCCGGTACGAGAGGAACTTTAAAATCTCCAGGTGCTCGATGCTGCGTCCATGTTTGGACAACTTCTGTAAACACAGAGACACGCTCGTCGTGTCTCCTTGTGGGACACTTTTTGGGCCATTTAACGTTCACACTGGAGTCACATACAAGTCACATTTAATTGGAAATGTGAACGACCTCACAAAAACATCGGATTTCACACACAAAAAAAATCATTAAGCCCTGCAGTCTGAATGTAGCCTTAGGTCAGGGGTGTTCACACTTTTTCATCATGTGAGCTACTTACAAAATGACCAAGTCAAAATGATCGACCTAATACAAAACCAAACAAACTGCACTGAAACACTCTGTGCCCCTTTTTTGGACCCTCCCCACAGTTTGAGAACCTCTTCTTTAAGAGAACTTCCTCTGGCACTTTACACAAAACTGTGAAAAAAAGTGAAGGAAGATTTTTAAACCTGTTTTTTTTAAAGTTTCCAAACTGGAGTTTCATTCTTTTCTGGTTTTGCAGTGATATTTTCCAGCCTCTGCACGTTTACCAAACCAAACGCACATCGTGACAAACACAGATGCATTTGTCACTTTTGTTAGACAAACTTCAGCCAAATGTGGCAGTAGGTCTGTTCTGTAGATCCGCTCTATGCTGTAGACCTGCTTTGTGCCAACACTGGAACACAAATTTAGACTGGTTTTTGCTTCCACGTTTGGTCTTGCTTCTTCTAATCAGCCGCACTGTGGGAGGGGCTTGTGTTGGCTGTACGCAGGAAGGAGCGAGAGCGTGAAAAGGCGAGGGGCGGCGTGCTGACGTGAGGCAGATGGACAGGTAGGATGTTTAGGAAGTTGAACCTGCCCTGTGATGCACGCTGGTACACGAGGGCACACGCTGTCGCAGACGAGCCGTGCATAGGGAGCGTGTGTGTTTGTGATGCGCCGTAGAGTCTCCGCGGGTTTCAAATGAGCGCACAGGCTGCACTGAGACGCCCCACACGCTCCTGCACCCGCTACAAGTTTATTACCAACAGCAGCGGCCGGAATGAAATATGATCAGACAGACTCGAGTGAGAGACAAGACCGAGTCCAAACACGAGTCCGAGATGAGACACGACGATCTACCCACACGACCTTGGCCATCGACTGGTAGATCGAGATCGACATATTGAGCACCCCTGCACTAGTGCATCAAGCTCTTTTAAACATGACTGTGCGCTGCTCTTCAGTCATGTGTTGTCGGTCCTGGGTGTGACTGAGCTGCTGCAGGTTGGTCATTATTGCTTTAAAAAGTGACTGTGTTTGTCTCACTAAATACCCCATTTTTCTCCGAGTCAAACCATGGTCTTCTGAACTAGCCTATTACTACTACTACTACTATTACTATTACTATTACTGCTACTACTACTATTACTATTACTACTACTAATATAGCTCCTGTCTGTTTCTAATTCATATTGCAGCATTGTACCAGCTACAGTAACTACACCAAACCTCTGGGTGGCGCCTGGATTTGATTCAAACCTGTAGCTTTTATTTCATTACAGTTGTAACTTTTACTCACAAATCTGTTTAAAATCGTGCATTTGTCAGCGACTCGCCTCTCCACAGATCTGATAAAGTCTCATTGGTCTCTGGTCATGGATATGAAACATCAGCTGTGTGCAAATGAAACAAGTGACAAGTGTGTAAAGTTATATCACTTTACACACAAAACACCAAACCAGAGTTTTACAGAATCTCTGGAAAGTTTTTACGAAGATTCATTTTCAGAGGTAAATTCACCGTTTGTGTGTAAAAGATGGAAACAAATGAAAAGGAAAATGTCTGTTTTTAAAAATACCTGTGTACGTGTAAACGGGGCTTCAGATGCAGCTCCTTTAAAAACTCTGACCTGTGATTTTCTTTTCTTCTGTTATTTTCAGGTTTATTATTTGACTTAAGGGTCTGTTCCATTGTGTAACTTTTCTGGTGGAGGCTCCATCAAAAGTGTTTCTCCATGGAGATGTTAATGCTTTGTCTGGAATGTTTCACAGTATGGCATTAGTTACAGGTGTAATGACATTACAAGTTACAGTTCAGATCTGTGGAGAGGCGACCCCACTCATAGACAACATGCCTCTTTTTCAAAGTATTTTTGAGCTACAAAATCGCCTGTAATTGAATAAATGTAAAGTAGAGATGTTTAATGTCACTGTGGAACATTCCAGGCAGAACAATGACATTTCCATAGAAACAATCAGCAGGTGACGAACCCTCCACCAGAAAGTTACACAATGCACTTTAAGTCTGTCATCAGTCCTCTAGGTCTAGGACGTCGTGTCACTGCAGAAGCTTCAGTTTAAGTTCAGCCCTTCACTGTCCTCATCAGAAAAAGACAAAAGACGACAGCAGAACAACAATCATGACCTGCAGTAACGAGGCCAACCTGCAGGGGGCACTGTTACTCTTGATTTGATTTCTTTGGATCCAGCACATCCTTAAACAGAGACACCCTCGTCTTCAAAGGGGGGGGGGTAAAATATGAACCTCACAATCATCAGCAGAGTTTGTGACTTTAAAATGGAACTGCCTCCACGAACAGTAGAGCTCTCAGTGTTTAATGTCTGTCATTGTGAGCTCTAATTTTCATGCCTCACCATATATTAACTTTCTGACTTGTAGAGACTTTGGTTCCTTTAAAGGAAAAAGAACTACTGTAACAAATAACAAGCGTTGTTGAGTTTGGTGATGTTTAAAGCCACATTTATGTCCCAAGTTTTCAAACTGACAAAAAACTGAATGAAATATAAAGAAAATGACTGAAACTATACATTTGTTTGGACATAATTTAGTTGAGAGGACATGTGTATAAATAGTTCTGTGTATTTCATTAGTGCAGCTCAAAGTCCATGAAATAATAAAGTTGGGGAGTAAGTTAACATTGGGATTCAGGCCCATGAGTGAAGAAAGATGGTCAAGTCAGTCCAGTCAATCACATGTACAAAAGGCAAGGTGACGGTGACGGCTCTAAAAACAATCTGCTGCTCTCTAGTGTGATGTACAAATATCCACAGAAGGAGCCGGTGTTATGGATCTGTTATGGGTGATATGTCATAAGCCGATGTGGGCGTGGCCCTAAGGACCCAGCTTTAATAAACCGAATATTTAGTTTTAAACGCGGTATCCGTGTTTCTTTTGAGGGAGCTTTACTTTATTAAATCATCCCCAGGTTATCTATGAGGTAAATCAGGCGTGTTAACTCGTATGTGTGAATGTCGTGATAAAAGCACCAAACTCACACGGCCGTTTACATCAACGCCAATGGAGACATGAGAAACTGTCCGTGTGAGTCACAGATACAAACCTCACTGTTTTCCTTTAGTGCAGACGAAGAAATCCACATCTCCACTTTAGACAAGGCGGAAATGAAGTCACAGAAGGTTTGATTTATTTAAACAGCGCCCCCCAGAGGCCCTGGGACAGGTGTCTGTGCCTGTCTGTCTGTCTGTCTGCAGAGGGCGCTCTTCTGTTACGTGTGAAATATGAGACATTTACATACTGGCCCAACAGATCTATAACACTAACAATATCAGCTCCCACTCGACACCGCGTTTCTAAAGTGGTAGTCTGCGGACTATGTAATTAAATCATTTTAGAATAATATTGTTATTTAAAATGTGTACATAACATAATAATAACATAATGATCCATGGATGTCGTAGATTATACCTATACCAGGCTCACAGTATGTGATCTTTAAATAAACTTTGACTTTTGGTGAAAGGACAAACAAATGTTTGTCGACTTTAAATTTAGATTTTAAAATAAAAAATAACTAAACTGAGAATGACATTTTCAAATGGGTAACAATGTAAAAATGTATTCAGCTATTTTAATTTTAACAAGTCGCACCATGCACATGGCAAATATTTAGAGGAATCACCGTGTTATTAAGTATTAAATATCTTGTTTTTTAATATTCCTCGACATGGTCAATGAAAAGATAAACATAAAGAGACACAGGGGTCAAAAGAGTTACAAAAGTTAAATAGGTTTATTTAAGTTATCTTTAATTTACAGTAAAAATGCCCCAAAAAACCCTCCTGCAACCAAAATCAAAGTAACAACAGAAGAGTCAAACAAACAGAACAAAAGGATGCAGCACCGGGCCAAAACAGGACAGGGCCATAGAACCTGGTGTCAACATCACGAGCCTAAAGGAAAAAACATCCCCAAACTAACGTTACCAAACAAAAGGCCAAAACAGGACAGCAGGTCCCACCAGGTCAAACACAGAAGACTAACTCCAGCTAACAGGCATCTTGTGGGCAGCTAATGCAGTGGGGCTAAGAGGGCGTGGAGGGTGAGGTGGTGGATGTTGAGAGTGAGCAGGACGGGACAGCATACCACAGATAGGTGGACAAATTATAATACGACCAACCACGCCACAAAACAAACATAACTATAAAGATACATGGAAGATAACGTACTAAGGAGCACCAGCTGACAGCACTTCTCTTTGAACGACTCTTAATTAATGATGATCCAAACTGTTTGAGCTTTTCTAAATCATTTACAAGTGATTTGTTTTCAGTCATGTAATTACACATGTCCTTTATATTCTGCATGGCCCCGTGATATTTTTCATCTCTAAATAGTCCTTTATCTTCATGGAAAAGAACAGAAACAGTCAGAACAATTCTCTCATGTTTGATGCTCCAATATTCAATGTCTGGGTCGTTTTTTTTCCACGTGTGATGAATCGCCACTAAAATAACTGGTTTTGTTTTTGCCGGTTCTGGAAGAGTGAATAACATTATTTTAGTCACAATGTCAGAAGAATGTTTCTGCAGAAAATACCAGAGCAGAAGTGAAATCAGATGCAGTTTAATTTCTATAAAATGTGAACAAACCTGGTAACTGCTCAAGGGCAAATTGTACGTCTGATCTTCGATCTCTAATCAGACAAAACACAATGACCCAGTCACATTCTGCTGGGTCCTCTGTGCTCGGGAGACTCAAGTCCTCTGTGATTGTTTGTTGAATGTCGTTACATTTAGAGCTTGAATCCTTAAAAATGAAGACTTTTCCTGCCTGCTGTGTCATTTCTGAAAAGGAAATATGTGTGATTAAACACCGTCTAAATATAGGATGAAAAACTACAAATGAACAGTTAACAGATGATCTAAACCTCATTATAATAAAAATAATGTAGTTACCTTTTTCTGGACTGTGGAGGTTTCAGTTTGGTGGTGGCTGCTGCACAATAGAAAACATAGAACACACACAGTCGAGTCGTGTTGCTGTGGTTTTGTCTCTGTGTCTGCAGACTGTGTGTGTCGTAAGTAAAACTTACAAACTCCTCCCCCTGCAGCCTGCAGGGAGCTGTCAATCAAACCAGGGAAGGACGGATTAATGCAATAAAATCAATAAAAACACGTATTTAGAAGAGGCACAGTACATTAATGAACACATGTTTTTTATGTAAATATGCCAGATTTAAACTTCAGGGTAATTTCTGACGTTGAACAGACAGGCTGGTACTATTAAGTCACACAAAACACAGAATGCTTTCTTTAAATTCATGTTTTTAAATACATTTTTGAAATCCAAATAGTTTCACTTTATCTCTACATATATTTACTTGTTTGATCTTTTTTTTTTTTCCTGTAATGAATACAAAAGTTGCAATTAAAACAAGAGTTTTTCAAATACAGAATTAAAATTCCATGGTCTTATGATCGTTGGAAAATTGTTCTAAACCCCTTCATCTCGCTCTCATTCAAAAGAGAAGTTTACAAGGGGCTCGTCACTGAGCTGTGCTCTCAGGAACTCCTTGAATTCACTCATTGTTCCAGAGTGTGAAACAGTCAGGAGGATTCAACACATTGAGCCTAGTGACAGAGTGAGACATGACCTCTGCATGACGGCAGCGCAGGACAGGGTCCCATCATCACTTTAACCGTACAGGGAAGAAAAAAGTTTTCTCTGCTCCAAGTGTGAGTCTGTTTCATTTTACTGTTTAAAAAAAAATAATCACGGGTATTGCCCGTCACTAAATAAAATGGTGTTATATTTATATAATATTATATTTTGTTTGCTCTTAGCGCTTCACATTTGCTACTTTCATTGCGGTCTTGCCCTGTCTGTGGTTCTTGGCACCAATGTCTAAATATTTAACAAGGAACAACACAAGGTTTTATATTTTGTATCTGCCCAGCCTTTTTTATTTTATTTCTAAAAAAAAAAAAAAAATAAAAAATAAAAATCAAGATCAAAGTGATAAATTATTATGTGTAGAGTATTTAAAATATGTAAAATTAAGCACTTGGCAAACAAAATTACACATG